GGGGGGGAGTGATAGGATGAGGAAGGCGGAGGGGTCCGAGGACGCGCAGGGGATGAGGGGAGGGGGAGGGGGCATGCCCATGGCGGATGAAGGCCCGCGCCTGCGGTGTCCCCGACAACCCGGGGGGGGCGCAGTTTGGGCATCCTGCGGCCTGGGGGCGGTATGGGGGTGGCCGGCCACTGCTGGCTGGCTCAGGAGGTCAGCGCACAAAAATAATATCCCGATTTTATGTCGTATAAAAGGGGATATCGCGGCGCGGGGGCGACAGAGGCGTCTCTCTCGCCAGTCGTTGGCGCCGCCGCTGGTCATATAAGTCGTGTTTGTCGTGTGACACGGCCGTGTCGTGTCATTGTCAGAGGAAATGTGTGTGACAGAGAGAGAGAGAGCCTTGTAGACTTTCATAAAGTGTGAGAACGTCAAGAGAGATACACTAGACTACCCTTCTCTGAAACCGAGTTCCATGCTGCTACAGGGAGACAACGTTTAACAAAATCTTCAACAACTCGCATCGTGGAGTCGTGGGGTCTGCGGACACTTCCAGGCGCTTGCAGGTCACCGTGGTCGGCGTCCTAGCGAGCGGCGAGGTCTCCGCCGAGGTCCCTGGTGGGTCCGGCCCGTCGAGTAATTTGAGCCCCAAGGTCCGTAAAGAGTTGGTCGCTTTACGAGGCTCACCCGAAGTGAGGCCGGGAGAGTGCAAAGTACGCTCCAAACCGAAAGATTCAAAAACTCTCACATCTATTTTTATGAGACCTAAGACCGGCTACGTATCAAATATCAAATTCCCGTTTCTCTCCTCTCGCCCTTTTTTAGAGCAGTAAAGAAAGAAGCAGCAGCAGTGGAAAACAGCAGAGAGTCGTCGCCAAGTAATAAACTTTTTAAGTATCGCTAAATCTTACCCCCTGCGGCCCCTTTTCCTGCCCGACCAACCGGTCTGAGCCGGCGAGAGACTTTTCGTCACCGACAGTAGGAATTATCCGTCTCGGCGGAGGGAAGCGCCCCGCCGCCAGATCGGGAAAAGAAAGTTATATAGAAGAGAACGACGTCCGCCCGAAAACATCTTCTCGCCCCGGCGACCGGCAGTCAATGCGAAATAAGGTAAGTCCGCGAGCAAAACACGACAATAGCCGGTGTAAAATACAAAGCGGCGACAAAGTGAACGGCAGGCGGCGCGCGCGGGCCCGCCACGGGTGGACGTGCCTGTACTCTGTACTGCCTTTGGCGCGCGAGCCGTGGGCGGGCGCCGTGTCGCGAGGCGGGCCGGGCCGGCGCCGCAGCGGTGGGCGATGGGTGGCCTACCTCCCGGGGGCGGCTCGCCTGCGAGGCTCGCCTGCTCGGCTCACGTGGCGGGCTTATGCAAGCGCTGGCTGCTGCGGCGGGGCGCGCTGGGGGGAGGTCAATCAATAAGGACTCGCTCACCGCGTCTTGGAGGAGCGCAGAGCGAGGGCGATGTACTACAGATTAAACACGCTGCACTGCTCGAGCCCTTAGGGAGCAGTGCACCTGCGACGGTACATACTAAACTCGTATATGTATATTTTGCCACATTGCGCAGAAATTAGTTGGTACAGAAACTAGAGCGCGATTATGTTTCATGTGATGAGGGCATAATTATGTTCAAACTTGAGAAATTAATTTAACATACCAAGGTGGCTGATTCACGCCGCGCACTTCTGTAGGTATACTGTACTGCACGCACGAGTGCGGGCGGGCTTGCCTATCGCCCCTGTCAACGGCGACGTTCACAAGCCGAGTGAGTAGGCAACCCGTGCGGTACAGCATAACTACAGAAGTTGCGCGGCGTGAATCAGCCACCTGGTACATCAATCTCTCGATCTGTCCGTAATCTTTGCCAAAAGTGTGCTTTTACTAATAGAAAATCGCCGATATTAAGCGATAATTCAATGAAAATTGTTTACTGACGTAGATTAACCGAATAAATATATTGTTTTTCCAACCTTAAGCTTATAGTCCCGTCGAAGTCAAGTGCCAACAGCCAACATTAGGGATCGTCCAGAAAGTACCTCCATTTTCGTCGGCTTCATTTGGCAAATGACGGGAGGTCGGCGCCCGCGAGAGCCATAGGATAGGCTGGATAGGCTGCCCCGCGGTACACGCATGATCTGCATGCGAGATGTTGCCTACCTACTAGGCGCTCCGAGATCTTTGCCAAGGCTGAACTTGGCAGATTCGATGATTGACGGACGTACTTTCAGGATGATGCCATAAGTCTATGGTCGCGTAGGGGAGGATAGATTAAAACCACCCGCTCTGATGGACTATATCTCAGTTTTCAGCCTGACGCTATGGTCTGCTCATGTAAGGTGCCCCATGTCCAAGTTGCAGGGACACGGGTGCAGTGTAGTGACATTCATAAAGTTTGGCTGACCTTATGCGCCCATCACCATAAGAATGATAATAAAACTGTAACAGAGTAGTAACAATAACAGCTGCCCGGCCACAGCTTAAGGGCCGCCCCACCTCTCAGCCAGCTCGGCTCCCCCGCCGACGCCCTATAGCTGAGCGGACGACCCTTTTCGCGCCGAGCGGTCACTCGAGAGCAATATGCCGCACGTTAAAAGTTGGCCCGCTATCAGAGAGATATTATGTGGTGGGGTCGCTGGCCCGGCCGGCCCGGATCAGCACGCCTGGTGACGGGGCACGGCCGGCCCAGCCCGCGCCCCTTGGCTGTGCCCTTGCCCAGCCCAGCCAAGGCTCGACGAGAAAAAGTGACCCGGACCGGGCGCGCCAGAGGTCGCTTTGATGTGGGGGAGGAGAAGAAAAAAAAGGACGATGCAGCCAGCCGCCTCACCTGCGCTCTCTCTCTCTCTCTCTCTCTCTCTCTCGCTCGCTCTCTCTCTCTCTCTCTCTCTTCTCTCTCTCTCAGTCTTACCCTCTCTCCCCCTTGCGAGCTGGGCGTGGGCGCACGCGTGCGTGGTGTGTGTTTGTGTGTGCATGTGTGAGAGAGACAGAGTGTGAGTGAGTGTGTGTATGTGCGAGAGAGGAGAGGGGGGGGGGTGTCGGGCTGTTCACGTCAATTACTTCCACACCGGTGGCTCGCCGCGCCACGCTGTCCGCCGACAGCGTTCCGCACTTGTTCCGTCTCACCTCTCGAGCGAAGAAGTGGCGAAGGCGGGCGGGCGGGCGGGCGACAGCGGCGGCGACGACATATATTCTGCGACGGTGAGGAGAGCAGTGGGGGGGAGGGGGGGGGGCGACACGCAGGGGCGACACATATCTATCGAAATCGGAGACTCGCCCGGAGGCTTTGTGGCGGCCGGGTAGAAAGGGGTGGGGGTGGGGGGTGGCGGAGCTCCTGACCCCATCCCCCGCTCCTCCCGCGCGGGCGCCGCCGCCCGGGCCACGCGCGCTGCAAGCCAACGCTGCCGTGACAACGCATGTCGCGAGTGGAGAGGGGGTGATTGGAGGAGAGGGGGTGCCGGGGAAAGGGTGGATAGCGGGGGGCCGCCAGCGGGGCACTGGGGTGCGGGGGTGAAGGCTGCGGGCGCGGCGCGGCGCGCGGACAAGCTGCGCATGAATATTTCATCATGGAATCACAAATTTCCCTCCGCGCGTCAAAAATATTTATATCAGCAAGAGTGATGAGGGCACCGATACACCCTCTGGTCCAGCAGGGTACTGCCTCGCCGGCCTTCGAGCCCTCGCCACTCCCCTAGCCGGCCGACAGCAACGGCCTCGCCGCCCTCACTGGAGGGGCCACAGCCGCTGTCCTCAGCCCGGCCCGGCGGGCCCGGCCCTTTGGGGGGTTTTAAAATCACGCCCTGAGTCCACAACGAGGGCTACACGGGGTGGCGGGCCGGCCTAGCGGGCCTCTTCGAACGACCTTGGGAGGGTTCGGCGCTGGGCGCCGAGGGCGGGCGAGGCACAACGATGGTTACACCTGGCTGATCGCCGTCTTAACAACCATACTGGGCAGCGGGGCGGGGCGGGGCGGACAGTTCGACGAGTTGCCCAGCTCTGAGCCCGAGCCCAGCACCGCCCAGCGACCCGAGCAGGCTGAACCTCCTGTGCCGAGTGTAAAGGCTAATACTCCCCAGTGTTGCGGGTTTGCATACCCAAGGGGCTATGGCGCCTTACGGGCAGATCGGGTAGGCAAACCCGCAACGCTGTGGCGTATTGCCTTTACAGACTGTAGGGCCCAGTACACATCCTGAACTTGCTCCCTCGCTCACTTAGGAGGAACATATGCCACACGCCACACACGGACACCCCCGCAGACGGTCGAGAGCACCACCTCCACACTTCTTTTCTGACCAGAAGACTACAGCACACACCAGCCGCTGGCCCCTGCCAACCCCCGCCCCGCCCGGTCGTGTTGGGCAGCCAAGCGGACGGACAGCGGGGGCCGTGAGTCTGCTCGGCGGAGCGCACGCCCGGCCTCGCCCCCCACGCTACATACACAGCGATTCAGACAAGGCAGGCGGGGTAATGCAATATTGATACACACACAAGGACCAGTTAGTTTGCAGTGATTTGGCATGTGAGGCGCCCGCTTCCTCCGGACAAAAGGGGAGGTAGGTGAGTGGGGCGCGGGAGAAGGGTGAGAGGGGCAAACCGCAGCCGTGTGGACGGGACAGTGACGGCGCCTTCGCGCTGCTTCAGACATGAGAGGTGTGGGGGGGGGGGGGGCAAGCGGTGTGTAGCAGCCCCGCGCCCCGCCTACCCTCGTCGGGAGGCAGCTTGAAGGACACTGTCCCTCCGGAGGATCACTCCCACAGGCAGCACTCACGCACACACACTCTCACTCCACTCCCCTTTTTTTCGGCCCCGCTCCATCCGCAGAGAGATTTGAAACGGTTGGGCCGGGCAGCCTGGGCCACAACAAACCTTCCTGTGAGAAAGACCAAACACGGCCTGACACTGGAAACATGAAAGGTGGGCCTCTGGCATGGTTTACAGGAGTAGTATTATGTTTTCTGACGCCTTTTTACCGGTAAAACACGCTTTAACAGAAACGCATCAATAAGGAAACCGTAGTTCGTCAATTACTAATGAAAAAAATGTGTTGAATACGTTTGTCACAAGAAAACCTACTATACAGATTTAGCATCGATTGTATTTTGATATTTTTACAAAAATATTGGTGTACATTGACATTTCTTTCTTACACACTAAAAGGTTAAGTTCCATAGTGTATGTACACTATAAATGACTAAGGACAATTTTTGTCTTAATATTACATACTTGCATTCGAAAACTGTCCCTTTACTTTCATCGAGTCAATGGTGAATTATTTAAAAAGTTCAAAAAGAGTAGCACCTCAAATTGATGCCTGGAGGAGGCCTGTGTTGAATCTGCACTTCTTTAATTTTCCATGTGATACAGAGAGACACTCTATCGCTAAAATAAACTCTTAAAACTAAATATAATCTTGTTGAATGAGAATTATTTCTAAAATGTTGCGAGGTAGTTCAAGTGCTTTACAGTCACCTTCTTTTCACACAAGTTGAAATTACACCGTGTGCATAGCGGAAAGAAAACATTTTCAACATATGACTCCTTAAGATTCAAGTAGACAAAGGGAGAAATATGTGAGGAAAGGAAGCACTTTGGGTTGAAATACTGCATTAGAAAGGTCTCCCGGCAACAACAAAAATGATTTGCCGTCCGGGAGCAGGCAATGGCCACTTATGAAATCGTGCAATTACACTGGCGGCGACGCCAGACCTCGCTAAGTCCTCGTTCCTAAGTGCGTGAAGACAGAGCAGAGAGAGAAACGCCATCCCAACACCTCGAAAAATGAGGAGTAACGATCTGACAGACTCGCAATAAATTACAGGCAAGCAGGCGTCTGGAAGACTTCGCGCTGAATCACAGACAGGGGCAGAGCTGAGCAGAGCCCAGTCTTTAGCGGCGAGAGGATGTACTCCACCACTGCAGGCTGTAGCTGGAGGGGAGGACGCCGTTGGGGCCGAGGCCGCCGCCAGACACCACGGACAGGGGTGAGTCGGCGGGGGAGCGTCCGAGGCCGGCGGCGAACGCTGTCGCGGACAACGGCCCGGCTAGGGGCGCCGCCGCGGCCGTGGGTCCGGCGTAAGAGGCGGGCGTGGCGGTGTAGGGGACGTCGACGGCGGGGGCTGACGGGGCGCTGTAAGGGGCGGCGCTGGCGGCGGGGGCGGCGGGGGCGACGTAGCGCACGGGCGGCGCAGTGTAGGCGCGGCGCGGCGGCAGCGCGACGGCCGTGTCGTGCTCGGGGAGCACCGAGTTGCCCTTCAGAAAGTTGGAGTTAGTGACACCGACGTGAGCGCCTCAAGGGACACTCGAGACCCGACGACCTACCTGGTCCACGTCGCACACGGTGCCCCTAATCAGGTCCGCGATGGGCGCCGAGTAGATGCGGAAGTTGACGTCGTTCGTAAAGTCGATCGAGTTGGAGATGAGGAAGACGGGCATCCGGTCCGACATGACCCACAGCGTCTTCTGAGCGTCCACCTGCAGACATACATACACCCACACCACAGTAGTAGTTGGAGTTCGCGGTAAGGACCGCAGCCTAGTTCAATATCCAAGGTGCGACAGATATGCGATGTACAAGCGATATACTTGACGTGTGCAGCTAGGGCAGGGGCTGGGCGGCACGTGGCCGACGCGTCCCGGACGGGGTCGCACAGGTGCTGCGCCCCGCCGCACCTGCCGCACCTACCTGCCGCACCTGCGCCCCGCCAACCGCACGTCCATCAACTAACCGAGTCTGCCGCACGCTACACAGTCAGACCCACCTTCACGTCGCTGGGGAACACGAGCCCGATGTCGTCCCGGTCCACCACGCCCTGCGTGTCCCGGGTGAAGGGCAGGCGCGAGTTCCAGCAGCCCACGGCGTTCTGGTCGATCAGGTTGTAGAAGAGCACGCCGTCGTCGTCCATGACCTGGGCCGTGGTGTGCGTGTTGGGGCCCCGGTTGGGCAGCGCCACGTACTGGTGGTAGCTGCGGGCAGAGAGAGGCGCGGGGGTTGGAGTGGAGAGAGAGAGTCTGACGAGTGGATGATGTGCGCTCGCCCGGGGATTAATTAAGGCATCTCATTTTTCATCAGGACGCCAAACACACGGCCTTCTCGTCGGCGGCGATGAGGGCGTTGGAGCGGAGGCCCCGCACACCCCGCCCACACCACAGCAGCGCCTCTCAGCCGCAGAGGGTAGGGAGGAGTTTTCGCTGCTGTCTGTATATATTGGCTTACACGTAGAAATAGGACAACCCAGCGATAAAATTACTTCTCGATTTAACTCGATTCGACGCCGACGCGTCCCACATTGGAGAGTATTGAAGCGACGGAAATTTCATTCCATTCGCTTCAATCTGAAAGAGTAGGTTAGGGGGCGTTGACTAAACACACACGCCACATGCAGTTTACGTTACGCAGGGAAATGCCGCGAACGTGTGTTCTGGCCTAGTTTACAACGTTCATTAACCAAAGTAAAGCGGCGCTAAAAACTCCCCGACGCGACCACTACTACTACTACTACTACTACCACCACCACCACCACCACCACCACCAC